AAGTTTCTAGGAAGACACTTGGTTTCCATTTGTTCCTAGGAATAATGTTGGGATATTGAATAAATCCTTAAAACAGCACTGATTAACATTCTTCTTGCATAATCGTTTTACCTGGAACTTTAATGTGAGCTTTTCCAGGGTATATGAAGTTGTATTCAATGATTATTGAAGTCTCAAAGACTTCTTGTTAAGAATAACCTATTTACTTGTCCAGACTTGGTCAATTCTGCATTCAATTTGCCTACTATAATCAGTGGCTATTGACTCAGGCTATTGACCTTGAGAGTCAAAGGATGACCCACTTGAAACTCTGATATGAAACTTTGGTAAATATGATTTTTTTTTTCCATGGGCCCAGGAACCCTTTAGTTCAATTTTATATTTCTCCAAAGCATCCTGTAATTTTCTCCAATAGCAATATTCCAATTCATAATTAGACAATTCCATTTAATACCTAGACCCCCAACAGTAGACTTTTAGCCGCTTGTAAAGAGCAACAATGTGTATTTTCTCATCCTGGTATCCTGAGTCCCCAGAAGGATGCTTAGCACAGATAGGTCCTCCTTTAATAAATATCTATGGAAGGAATAAATAAATGAGTAGACAAAAAGAATAAATATATCAGCAAACATTCTTATAGTAAGCCTCTTGAAAAGTCAGTAGTAAATTGCAATTTTTTTCTTAATTAACTAATTAGTTAAGTTAATCATGTCTTGAGCACTGAATGCTAGGCACTAAGAGATGGTAGGCATCTGTCCTTAAGAAACGCATAGACTTATGGGGTAAACAGACAAGAAATTAAATGGTTACAGCTGAGAAAAGGAAAAAACAAATGTTTTATGGAAATTTAGAAAGCAGTATCTGGCTTAGTCTGGAGGGAATCAAGGATGACTTCTCAGAGAGGGTGATGCCCAGTCTTGAAGTTCAAGGAATGTCTCCTTCAAGCAACAGATCTTTAGCATGAGAGGTGAAACATGTTTATCCCTCCATGTGCATGAATTTCTTATAGGGTAAACAGCCAAATGAGGGAAATAGCACAGCAGAAAAGCTAAGAATACAGAGCCTAGGCAGGAATTCTACTTCTATCCCACCCATAAGTTGTATGACCTTAAACACATTGGTTCAACAATTTGTGTCTCCATTTCTTTATTTCAGAATGAGAATAATAGTACTACCAGCTTCATGAGACTGCGCAAGAAATACATGGAATATAAAAAGCAAAGCACTCAGAATAAACCTGGACACACAGAAAGACTCAAGAAACATTACTTATTGTCATCATCATTGTTACTGCTGCTGAATACTCCCTGGATAACACATACTGAGAGATGATTTGGGGACAATGAGAGAGGTAACAATGAGTTAAGAAAGGAACACACTGATTTAACATTAACAAAAAATACCTAAAACCAAAATTGTATCAAGTCTGTCTAAATAATGACACAGATAATAAACTCTGGGTGCAGAAATCTTGTCCACGTTACCACTACTTTGGCCTACCCACTAATCAGGGGGATCTGTCCAAGCTCATTGATTGTCTGGAGAATGAAATTGAAGATCCATGGGTTTCATCACATCACTTCCAAATGTTCCTCCTCAGTTCCTGGAATAGCTTGGGAAATTAAAGCTATTCCTCAATATCAACATCATCATCATCATCATCATTCTACTCATTATATTTATAAATACGTGAAGGCCAATCAATTTTTCCCAACCGATTGTCAAATTCATTTAATCCACCTTTATTGAGCACCTTCAGAAGCATGAAGTCAAAGGTATCTATGACACGATACCTGCCTGTAGAGCTCAGAGCCTTAAGAAGCAGGCAGATGTAAGCAGCAGGCACCATTAGAATATAATGAATGAGATGGATGCCAAAGGAGAAGTCTACACAAAAGCATAGGGAAGAGACAGCATCTCAGGAATCAGGAAAGTCTCCACAGAAGATAAGTGGGAATATGGTGAACAGAGTCCAGGATTCAACCTGATATACCTTCTGGGCTTAGGAAAGTACCTCATGCATAGAGGCACTCAGTAAACAGCTATGAAAGTATTGAATAGATGAATAAAGAACCTAGTTTTTTGCACTGCCCTTTTCTTCTTTACTCCCTCCCAACCACATCTTCCCATATACTCTCTTCTACCCCATGGGGAACCTCTGTTTCATTACTCATCCCTTTCACTGCCTAATCTTGTAAACCTCTCAAAAGTCTCATCCGTGATTGCTCAACAAACACAGGTGTCCTGGTTAAAGCTCACAACATTTAAGTTATGAGGAAAGACTGACACAAATGAGCATTGCTTGATAATTTTCCACTGGAGAATGTGAAGTACCAAATCGGAGAACAGTATGTGCTATGTGGTCATGGAATGATTGTGCCATGTCCCACCTGGCTTTTCCCATGAACAACTCAGCAGGGAAGACTTTATGGTCTGCTGAGATTCATATCTATCTGCACGGACACCCAGCTCCCACCAGTGCCAAGAGAACTATGTCATCTCATCCTCTCATCAGAAATAAAGGAGACCCTACAGGAATCTAGGGAAATGGGACCCCTCAGCCATCCCACAGCTGCAAGCACATCCTATCCAACCCACCCTCTACTCTGCATCAGCTCCACGTCCACTCCCTCCTTTCTGCACCCAGATTTTATTCTCAGTACTAGACAGCCAACAGTCCAAAAGGTCTTCCAAATAAAATCACAGTTCCTTCTCTTTTCATCCCCAGAGCATGGTGTGTCCAAACCATGTGCAAACTTCACTCCTCATAAATCGTTTAATTGACAGAAGAGGGGATTTTGTTTAGAGACTCACAAAACTCAAAAATTCATGTGACCATCTTCTCCAAATTCTTTGATGGTCTATTGTTTTCCCAGGAGCTTTGCAATTCCCACAGTCTAGAGGAGGGTCAAGTGCCTGTCCTCCAATTTTCTCCCCATTTCTCTACGCTGAGCAGATGAGAGCATCTGGGATTTGTGGTGAAGTATAATCTGTGTGCCCTCCTTGCGTGAAGATGAGATGGAATGTTTGGATGAAGAGTTTTGCTTTTTTTTTTCTTGTCCATAGATTGCCCACAATACTATGCAGAAAATTCTCCAAGTTTTACAGCTTTAAAAAAGGGGGGAAGGAAGAGAGACAGAAAAATAAAAATTTCAAAGAGTTGACAAAGCATTTTAGAAAGTTGTAGGGGGAATAGAAAGTGGTAAAATTACCACAGAGAGAAATAGATTAATAGAATTGAAGCAGAAGGAAAAACAGGAGGACAAGAACAATAATGAGTAGAGGCTCATAGCCAGAAGTTTGTCCTTTTCAGCAGATCTTCCATTTAAAAGCAATGCTAAGTTCAGAGAGGGATAGTCAAAATCTGTAGACTGATTTCCACTGGATCTATCAGAATATCATAGAATAAGTGAGCATCTAAGAAGTGGGAGACTGAGAGAACCCCACTTTATAACCAGAAGTTAAGAGTTGTGGTCTCAGTTCTGCTGACAAAGCAGGTGATCTCAGGCATGTCATCCCCTCTCTGGACTCACTTGCATATTTTATAAGCTAGTCCAAGTTCAACTTCATCTCATCACTTCTCCTATGACAACTGTGGTTCCCATCACCATAATCTTTATCCTGGAGAATTGTGACAGCATCAGAAAGAACATGAATGATTATCTGGCCCAGGGTTCCCAATCTTGGCCATGTATTAGAATCATCCAAGCAGCTTTTAACAATACCAAGCTTTGGCCTCTAATGCGGCCCCAGTAAATGGGCTTCTCTGGAGAGTGGCCCTGGGTACTATGTTTTTAAAAAACCTTCTAGGTAATTCTAATGTTCCTACCACTACTCTAGCTCAATCCCTGGAAAACCAAACATGCATTCCAAAGGTATTTTTGAGTGCCCACAGAGCATCAGGAACTATGCTGGACAGTTGGCAGTGAACATGACAAAGTGGATCTTTTTTACATCCAACTGGAGGCAGACAATTCATAAGCAAATAAACCATATAGTTTCAGACAGTGATGTGTGCTTTACAGAATATGACATGGTGATAAAATAGAAAGTAACTACAGGAGTACCAGGGTGGTGAGAGAGGGTTGCTTTAAAGAGAAGACTTTAAGGGCTGCTTAACTGAAAGATGAAAGAATCCTGCCAGAGTATATGGATAAAACACAGAGGAGCAGTAAGTCCAAAGGCCCAATGGTGCTTGGCTAAGGGACAGCATGGCTGGAGCAGAGTCCCTCAGTGAAACAGAGATAGTGACATCTGTCCTGAAATTATCACATTGTTATGTCTGAAACATGTGCGATGTATTAGGAAGCATTTAGGGATGGAAAGCCCAAGAAAATTACAAAGGTGTCCTGTTTTATTGTCACCACTGCTTGCTAATGTATTTCAATAGCCCACACAGTAGATGACAACCCTATGACATCCCCCGGCCTTAGCTGTGGAACCCAAGTGCTACACCATGACGCAATTGCAGATTCTGGGCCTGGACTTTTCTGGGAAGTCCTGGATAGATTTTGCAGAGCTGCAGCTATGTTCCAGGAATCTCCTGTCATAAGAGGCTGAGAAGGGTTTCCATTTATCAGATTAAACTCCTTACACAAGAGACAAAATTGAAAGTAAAAGTTGGAAGCCCTTAAAATGCACCAAAGGAAGATAAGCCACCATGCTGATAAGCTGGGAGAGGGGCTACCCACTTGGCTTCCTCTAGAGAAATTTGGGTGCCTACCCTTTGCAACATTCCACAGCTTCACCCCAGAGATGGGAAAAGACAAAGTCCAGTCACATTATCACTTTCTACTATTATCCCGGAAAGGTACTTTGAAAAAAGGAGGTTTTTTTTTTTTAAATAAGAATATGGAATTTATTAGATATTGAGTACAAAAATAAACCCATCTAAACAGTGGCCCAGAGAGCTTATTTTATCCCTCTGGGTACCTCTAGACTTTCTCACCCCAACCCCAATAAAAACTATTTTGCATGTACAATGGCTAGCAAAGACTACAGAACCTGGTCAGATGTTTGTGACGTAGGTGGTAATGCTCAGCTGAATGGGTGTTATCGGTTCTGAGTGCCTCTACTGCCCCTGTCAAGGGGAATGCTAATCTTCTCTCCTTTCATAAAACATATTTTAGCCAATATTTGGTTTATTAATGCTTTTTCTCATCTTTAATCATGCAATGCTTGCTTGCATTTTCCTTATTATATAACTAAAACATTGCAGAAAGAGGGAGAGAGAAAGTCTCTATACTACATTGATACCCTGAAGTAACTACTATTAACAGACTGTTTCTATGCATTCATGTGTAGGTATGTGCATATATGTATATATGCCTATGTCATGGAAAATGTTCATTTTTTACATAAATGGCATGACAGTGAATGCCTTTAAGGAGGATTACACAGGATGCTTATGACAAACATTATAAAGTAAGAGCTTCATACCAGTATATGGCCAACAGTAGGGGAGTGACTGAATATACTGTAGTATATTCAAATTATGTGATCGCCATAGCTGTTTAGAAGAGTAATGTAGCTGCAAACCACCTTTAAAGCTTCACAAGACATTTCAGAGTGTATTAGCCAGGGTTCTCCAGAGAAACAGAACCAGTAGAATATATATAAACACACAAATATACACACACATATGTATTTACAAAGTATAATTATATATAAATGAAAATTATTATAAGGAATTGGCTCATGAAATTATGGAGGCTGACAAGTCCCATGATCTGCAGTCTGCATGCTAGAGCCCCAGAAGAGCTGATGGTGCAGTTCAAAGGCCTGAGAGCAGGAGAGCTGGTGGTGTAGATTCCAATCAGCATCTAAAGTCCTGAGTGACAGGAGCATTGAGGACAGGAAATCGCTGTTGCAGCTCAAGCACTCAGGCAGAGGGTAAAATCAATTTTCCTCTGCCCTTCTGTTCTGTTCAGGTCTTCCATGAACTGGATGATGCCCACCCATTGGGGGAGGACCATCTGTTTTATTCAGTCCAGCAATTCAAACAATAATCTCTTCTAGAAGCATAATGATCATCATGTTCAAAGGTCAAAGGCATGAAAGAGTTGAGTGTATGAGGAATTGAAAAAGTCCACTGTCATTGGTGTTCAGTGGGGTGGGTCTGGGACAGTGATACTACAGATCAGAGAGGTTGGCAGGAGCAGGGTTGCAGGATCTTATAAACAGAACAAAGAGTTTCCATTAGTTCCAAACATAATGGAAAGATATTGAAAACTTCAAGCAGAAGATGGGGACAGGGATGACATTTGTTAAATATGAGAATGGATTAGAGGAAAGCAATATTCCAGCAGGAATATATGTCAATATGCTGGAATAATCTTGGCAAGAGATGATAGTATGGGGACCACATGGACAGCAGTGAAGAAAAAATAGGTAGCATATTTAAGAGATACCTCAGTTATGAAATCCAAAGGCTTGTTGAGGAATTAGAATAAGACATACAAAGAAAGAGAGAAAGGCAGATTGACATCCAGGTGGATGCTGGCCAGATGAACTAGTGTAATGGTTGTGGCATATCTAAGATAAGCAAATGAGTGCCTGTGGGATGGGTAGGGGGGACTCAATTGACTTGGACATATTTCTTCTGAGTTACAACCCCCATTTAGCTAGTACCTTTTGCAATGGCTAACATGCTATTTGGTAGCATGCTGAAGTTCCCTCTCAAATTTTTTAAATTAATTTTATTCTTTATTCAGGAATAATACACATATATGATTTAAAGAACAAATAGTACAAGTTTCATTGAGTAAGATATGCATCAAGAAGTCTTGCTTCTACCGGTGTCCCCATCCACTCTGCTACCTATCCATTTCACCATTTTTAGATATCCACCTGTAGCAGATCTGGCTGTGCAACAAACTTAGTAGCTTCAAACAACTGTTTACCTAGCTTATGCTTCTGTGGTGGGCTGAACAGTTCTCCTGGTATGCGTGACCTTGGCTGAACTCAGGTGAGTAGGCTCATGCGTCTGGCTCTTGGCTGGAGGCTGGAGAGCTTAGATTGGTATGGTGGTTGTATTGTATTCACTTCGCTTAGCAGCAAGTACACTTCTTAGAATTCCTTTCTGTGTGTAATTCTGGATTAGGGAAGACAACACAAGATATTTGCACAGTGTTTTAAGGGTAGAAGTGAAGCAGCAGCTATTGTGCTTCACTAGTGCAGGCCCAGGCTGCTGCAGCTCAGTCATATCATTGATCTGCTGGCTCGCCCATTGGCACTGGGCAGCACCAAGAGTCACAATTCCTCTTACTCCCATGGGTCTTCTCCTCCAGCTTCCCTGAGTCCTGGGCCAGGCATACGCATAGCTCCATAGCAGAGAGATTAGCTCAATTAGCAGACAGACCCTGGGTCCAGTTTGTCCTCATTCTCTCTTGCTTTGTTCCCAGATTTTCTTCTTGACTATCTGCCTTGCTTCAGTGACTTCTTTACCCTCTCTCCTTTGTGGTCTCTTCAATTATGCAAGGTGTAAGTCCTATAGTAAATCCCTTATTCCATTTCACTCTTCAGTTGATAGGCTGCTGGCTAAGGGGGTGGGTGAAGGAGGTGGGGCAGGCAGCCAGGTTTTATGTCTCTCATCATCTATCAGGCTAGCCTGGGCTTCTTCACATGGTAGTCAGAAGGTTCCAAGAACAACAAGGGAAAGCAGGTCCTAACTTCGGCTTGTTTCACATTATCCAAAACAAGTCCCAAGGTCAAGGGATAGTATGATGCAGCACTACTCGAAGAGAGTAGATAAAGAGAGGTGAACATTTAGGAAGGACATAGTAAATGTTACTGCCTATACATTAGAACATCACATCTAAGTGGCTCAACCTAGTGGCTGGAGAGACAGACATCTTTCCCACCTAGCAGACTGGGCTCCCTGCCTTTCCCTTTAAATGAACCATTCAGGCATTTTCCCAAGAACTTAAAGTGATTCACATGGTATTCCTTTATATACACATATAAACTGCCAGTTGCTACAGTCTCTCTCTGCCTGATTCTTCATTCTTGCCTCATGTGATAAATTTAAGATAAGCATTACATTTGTAGGTTCATTTATCCTGTCTCTCCTGAGAATGACCACTCCCACTGTGTATTATGAGATGGGAATTGTTATGGTGATGGGATAGGGTGTGGAATTAGAAGGTGGTTGTGAAAGTTTGCTCAGTTTGGAAAGAAGCCCAATCTATGTCAACAGGCTATGAGATGCCAAGAGGCAACCTGAGTTCAAAGAAGTCTTCTAAGATTCAAGGAAGATTGAACCCTCTCTTTGCTATGTTTCCCAACCCTCTCTAGGAAGACAGTGTTATTAGCTAAGCAGAGTAGGCCACAGATGTGGTTTTTTTAAAAAAGCCCAAGAATAGGAACTAAGCAGAATACCCAACACACAGTGCACAGCAGGAAATGGGATTTGGAGATAATGTTATTCAGTGAAGGGCTTTAAGATGGAATGGACCATGCTTCCTTTGACTTATAGCCACATCACTTGGACCTCTGTTGGACCACTTACTCCGTTATCCACTATAAAATAATCACTGGTGAGTTTCCTATCATGTATGCTCTTACAGAGCAATGTTCCTTTCCTCTAAAACATGTAGCTCATGTGTTTTTAGTGATTATCACCGGTTTCTTCCTAGTAGACTAAAAGCTCTATGAAAGCAGGCACATGTCTGAATTTTGCTTCTCTCACTCACCTGGCCAACTCACTGATATCACCACAAAAAGGCCAAAGTCAGAGGCTGTATCTGGATATGAACATTGACCCACAGTGCCTGGCTTTAGAAGTATGTGAGTAGTAGAATCCAGATTTGAATGGCACTGAATCAGAAATTAGACTTTTAAGACCTTTCTAATCATTTTACACATAAGACTGTGAGCAGAGGATTCAGTTCTCAGGGATGCTTACACAAACTTGGAAACACAGTCTATGTAATTGTAGATGCCAAGTGCATCTATTATTTCCCTTTTTTTAATGGGAAAGCAAATGAAATAAAATGTATTATTGTACTTGTGTTTGTAGGGCACAAATCTATACTGGTATTGTAAACAAAGTCTGATCAACATAAAGACAATATTTTTCTATTATCTTTGTAGAAAATATTATTAAATCATTGTCATATGAAGAAGCAATAAAAGAATATGCAAGCTAAACTATAGTCACAGAAAGTACCATATTAATGTGCAAAACAATTAAACATTTTACTTTGTGATATTTTCCACCTTTAAAAACCTATAGTTTGTTGTGATTTCTTCCTCTATAGTCAACATTTTTATTCTTTGTGTGAATAAGTCCCCCCCAAACCCAAGACATACCTATGGGTAGCCACGTGACCTTTCTGTGCATGTAGTAGACAGTTGTACAAATATTTCAAGAACACAGTTTGAGTTTAGAAAGTTTAATGTCAGTCCAAAATAGAATTTTAAAAATCCCACATTGATTTGGGGTTAATTATTCCTTCCTCCTAAGTTTGAATATAATTCAGGTTGGAAAACTGCAGTGAGAAAGGGGGACTATAGTTGACTTCTATATACTTTCTACCTCATGGTTCTATTTTTCACTGTCTCCTTAGGTAGTCAGCAATTTCTGACCTCTCCAAGGACAGAGGGGAGGAAAAAAAAAAAGGTTTTAATGGCACCTCAAAGCCTGGTTCCCTGCTCTCTGGGCCTGGCCCATAATGTCTCCCTGGGAATGTTTTGATGTGCTTCCAGGAGGTTCTAGATTGGTTCCTCCTTCCTAAGATCCCTTCATCTAGGAAGATCTGGGTACATCTCTTTTTTGAATAGTTGCTTCTTCACCTAAGGTGTTCACCCACAGATTCTTGCTCTGGTATCCCTCTACCTCAAGAATCAGAAATGGCCTATCTCTGGCTCTCTCTCCTGGTTAGCTCATATATGGTCCTAGGAAATCACTTCGTGCCCCATGGTCTCACATGTCCTGGGAATATGGTCCAGAGGAATTTTCTACTGACTACAACACCAAAACATGGGACAGTCTTCCTTGTTTTATAGGTTCTCCTAAAGAGGTCAGACTCTTTCCCTCAAACACACAATAGTTTCCTCTCAATAGATTAGATGTTACAGCATAGATAGAATATCACCATTCCCCTCTCCCTTTTGGTAGTC